ATCTAATTACCACTTGGAAGTGATGAATGACAAAATTAGATAAACTAAACGTTCACCTAGGATTTTAATTCCTTATTTGTTTTGTTTAAAAGAATACATAGTCCTTTCTGTTCATTAAGCAGACAAGATGAAGGATTATTGATAAACTTAACGAAAGCCGCACCTGTATGACAGGTACTCCGAGCAGTTCATTAACCTGTAGTCGATGCGCTTTATACAATTGGTCAGCTGTAAAATGCGCTGCAAGTGTGATATAATTTTCACGTATGATATCCTGATGTTGGTGATACATTGCTGTAATTGTGACAAAAGCCAAAATAACTGATGCAATCACTCGAACGAAGTAAGGATGCATTGAAATAAATGTAGAATGATTATCAATCGTAACAGATGAATAATATAGTAAGTCGATTTGATCCATATTTTGATAACACAGATCTTGTAGTATTATAAATTGTTATCCTTCGATTCATTTCGCACCTGAAATAATGAAGTACAACATTACTTAATCATTTGTAATCTAAAAACTAGAAATAAAAGAGAAATAGTATGTTGATCTCTAAGTATTTCAAATCACTTAATTGGAATAGCATACTTTTTTTTCCAATAATGTCGAATAATTGAATAGTTTCTCCACTACCAAAGCGAATTTCTCTTTGAGCAACGGGCGAGATTACAAACACTGATAACCTGAAACTGTCACACTGCCGCTTCTTCGCCATCCTCATACATCTGTTTCATGTTTCTGAGAAACGAACATGTCGATATTTAATGAAACTTGTCAAATTATCGAAAAAAAAGAAAACGATAATAATTAAAGGAAGATCAAATGAAGTGGAATATTTGAAGGAAGCAATGATACGGCTTAATATGAAGTTTTGAGAAACTTATTTAAATCTCTTGTTTTTCATGGCATAACTTTCGATTTTTTATCAACCAAAGAAACAACTCAACTATTGGCATATTTAGCTAAAGAGAGTGATATAATCCTTGGTGTACTGTAATGACGGTAGCCTTTGAGGCATATCAGGGAGTGATAAGTATAAAGAGACAAATATGATAAATTCAGTGATAATAGAGACAGATGCAAGAGCTGCTAATTAATTGCATTAAATATGCAAAAACGATGAATTCCTGTGATAAATAAAGTAAAACAACAATAAAATTACGAAAAAAAATCAAAGAGAAAAGAAGAATCAAAGAGAAGAACTATAAATTTGTAATAGTTTTTTTCAGAGCGATTGAAAAGGGGAATATTTGAAAAAATGGTGGGAAATTTCGTGATTTAAAATAATAAATATGAAAAAATGATAAGAAGAGTAAAAACAGAATGATAATCAAACCCAATTAAAGAGTGAGAGTAACAAAGAATTGGTTGACTATACACACACATATTGAGAATTTACTAAAGATGTCGGCCATCCGTAAAATACTACTCTGAAGAGATGAAAGGTCATAAGAAACATATGTACAAGTCAGAGGTCAGGTTGAGGTGGACTGAAGGTCTTGATTGAAAGGGAAGGGAAGGTCATAGGAAACATATGTACAAGTCAGAGGTCAGGTTGAGGTGGACTGAAGGTCTTGATTGAAAGGGAAGGGGATGTGAGGTAGACAAAGGGAATTGGAAATTTTTCATTTCTTAACCCTCCGTTTGACTCCTCTCGTTCCGTCTTTTGAACTCTCTTACTCTCTTTCACCCTCTTTATTGAAGAAAGTCAGATGAGGTCAGTCAGTTTCTATTCCTAATTGATGACCAGCTGACCCACTGTTGTAAACCTATTAATCTACTTGCTAACCTTATGAGTTCGATGAGAAATTGTGTAATAGAAACTTTTTGCTACACTTTAGCTACATGCAACATAATAAATGAAAATCTTTCAGTCTTCAATAAACTTGTAAATTCCATTGAATACTAAATATTGATCACAATAAAATGCTAATAGCCGTTCCAATCACGAAATTCTGATTGATCTTTTCAGGGGAATTTTCCCCCGCAGGAATTATATTATATGCAGAAATGGCTAATATTTTGCTAATTATTAATTTTCAATTTTAATTTTAAAGGTTCAGCAGTGTTTATTTCATTTCCATTTTTCTTCAACATTTTATTTCTAGCTGGTTGCCTGACTAAAAATGGTTCATTTCATTTATCGATTGCTTGATTTGACACATTTCAGATCGATCATTCGTTTGCAATAACTTTTCGAAACTCTGTTTTTTCAAACTATTTCGAATAACTTTTAATTCACTTTCGTATTTATATTCAGTTTGATCAATCTCGATTATCTCATATAATCCATGAACTTTTATTATATAGAATTAAGATTTGAAAACTTTTAAAATTTCTTTCTTTTTTTTTCGAACAAATAATTAATGTTACAGACAGTTTTATTATAAGAATGACAGCTGAAATTGCAAATATTCAGTTCTCTCAAATATTTTATTTGAAATATAAATTTCAAACTTTTTGGCGAGAATTTTTCTTTTAATTTCTCTTTTTTTTTGACTTTCAAAATTTCTAAACTTTTCACAGGTACATTCACCAAAACGTATCAGTCATACTACTAATATTAAATTGGAACCATACTCTGTTGTCACCGATACATCAACTGTTCCTACTGATTATGCATCGGTTGCATCAAATGAAAGTTTCTACAATACTTCCCATATTCTCAATGGTCGACCTGTTTTTGGACCTTGGCCTAAACCTACATTGTATCAGTTTTCTTCCTTTTTTTTTTAAAAAAATTTTTCCGAAATTCTTATATTTTTAGAATTATTTTTTAGCATAAGAAAATGAAATGTTTGATTCTTTTTTCTCAAATAAATTTTATAGGCCAATGAAAAGTCATTCAGAATCAGATGATATTCATAAATTAACCCAAAACATGGAACATTATAATGTGAAAAAAAGCTCTTCCGATACAACGATAGATATTGCCATTCATAATGGAAGTAAATTAAATTGGTGATAATTAATAATTTAATAATTAGGAAATTCATCGCAATGAATGGCACTAATTAGTGAATTGTTAAAAAATTTATGCAACGAAAGAACAGAAGACATATGTGGTATCATGATTACTGTTCATTTCTACTGATATCATTACTCTTTCATAACTTTCTGTTCTGATATCTTTGATATCACTGGAAATTATAGTATCTGCAGTAAGCGTGGGTGTATTAATTAGTGGAAAAATTAATACTAAATTCTAATTGCCAAAAATATAAATTAGAAATTCTGTTGAGACTTTTTAATTTTAAAAAACGAAAAATTACATGAATTTTATCTTCTTTTTCTTTCTTTCGAATTTTTACGTTTTTAGGCTTTTTAAAATCTCGTTTTAAGAAAAGAATTAAAAAATTTTCCAGCAGTTTTATTTAATTAACTAATTTTTAGAGCCATTAGATGAAATGAGCGCAACAACAATCAGTGTTCCAGTTACGGGAAAATGTGGCACCGTTAGGCAAAAGGTTGTGGAAAATGCTTCATAATTGTAAAAATTCTTTCTGATAATTTTTCAAGTGTTTTTTATCTTGTTTATCAAATTTTATTTATCAACATCATATCTTCTTAACTGATACGCGAAAAATTCTAATTAATAATGCTTGGCCCCAATTACAACAATCCGTAATTACTGCTATCAGTTCAATTGAATTAAAATTTCTAATTAATTGTCTAGTCAATTTTTAATTGCCGTTATCATTGTATTTTCAGTTATCAGAAAATAATTTGCATAAAAAAAATGCCTCAACGTTACACGAACAAATGAATTATAATATAGCTATGTTAGAGAATAGCGACATTTCGATAAGTTTAATTTGATTTTGCGAAAAGGAAAAACAATTCATACGCTCATACGTAAACAAAGTTATACTGTAACACTTATTTGCTTGTTTAATTAAAAATAAAAGAAAAAAAAACAGTCCGAAAGAGAAACAAACAAAATAGCCTTAGGGCCTTAGGCACTTCTTTCACCATTTATAGAGGAGGAACAAAAAATAGCCTAAGATTCTTTTTCTACCATTCATAACCATGGATATATTTCAGGATGAAGCAGAATCGGTGCACTCTATTCAAATGATAGCACCAATTTTATCACCAAATGAGCAAAATAAATTACGCTTTGAGCAACTTCAACAACGGCTCACATCATTATCTACGCCACTTGTTAGCATGGTATGAGTAATTTGATTAAAATTATCATCAGTTTAAAAGATAAAATTAGTTTAGAGAGAAGTATTTATAAGGTTATTCCAATCATATTGCTTTTTTTAATGAATAAATAAAAATTTTCAACGAATACTTTTATAGCTTGGGACAAGATTTGAAACAACTGGTGAGTCATCCACTGATCAAGATTTAACAATCGACAAAACTGATAACACTAAGGTAAACAAATAATGGAAATGGTAAATATTGTTTAAGTATAAATGTAGAAAAAGAAAAATAATGAACATTATTTATTTGAAGATATGATTTTTTTTGATTTAAAAAACTTGAATTGATATCATAATGGGAAATTAAGAGTTTTTTTAAAAAGAAAGAAATAATTCTAGTTTTACGGATTTTTTCTTTTTTTATAGATAAAAAGAATTGATTTCAATTTTTTAGATACCAATTGTAACATTGCAATCAGCATCACAATCAATTAAATCGAAAGGAACTCATGATGGTTTGTGAATTTTTTTTTTCTGTTTAAATTGTAATTGTACTTCTTAAATAATGCAACGATCAGTTGACATCGTAGATTTAACAAGGAAAAAAAAGATTATCGAATTATACAATTAGTTGATGTAGTAGATTTTGACAAAGAAAAAAATCATTTAACTAAGCGATTAATTGGAACAGTAAATTTGTTCAGAAAAGAAAAATTTCATTTTCCTTTTTTTTTTTAAACACTTCAGAAATTGATGATGAATTGATAGCATATAACTCTTCATATTTTCAACGAAAAGATATCATCAATTTATCACCTACTGCATCTATTTCTTCAACGGTAAGTTAATTGCAAAAAAGAAAAACTACAGTTTGATTTTATAGCAGTAAATAATTTTATTTTTTGTTTTTCTATTTTTCAACTGGAATATTAAATTTCATCGAAATAATAAAAGAGTTATTTTATCAGAAATTTTTTTCATCATTTAAAATGTTTAAAAAGTAATTCATATCATATGAATGATTAAAAAAAATAATGGCAGAAATTGAAAATTTGAATTTTTTTTTATTTCAAACTCTTTTCTTTTGCGCACTTTTATTTATTTTTATCGATTGTACACATAAAGATTTACTTGTATATTGTTTGCTTGAAATGTTACTCATAATTCATAATTAGTAAGTATGATTTTAAATTCATAACGCATAACCCACTCTCATCTCTCAGTCATTTTCATTTGCTTATGTGAAAATTTTCATTATTTTTGCAAAATTTATCAAAAAAAATTTTACAATTTATTGTTGCTATTTCAAAAAAGCATTGAAAATAAATTATTTTGTAAACTAAATTTTTAAGGTTACACTGTTGTTGTTATTACTATTGTTATCAATTATTATTAACTATCATTAATTATTATTATTTTTATAATCTAGGCTATGAAAACGCAAAAATTGATGAATGCAACATATCAAACAGCTCTCAGCCAAGGTTACCATTCATTTCTTTCTTGATAATTTTTCACGTATTAATTTATCAAAAGTTCTTCAAGTATTCCTTTTTTTTACAAGATTTTTGATAGTAAAAATCTGGGAAAATCATTGATAAATTGAAAACGATATGTTAATTTTGGTTAGTTACTTGAATTATTAGAAATAAAATAACATCAATGCAATTCAGTTCATTCGATACAATTGTTTTTTTCAGAAGATATTCATGTGGAAACCGATATAATTGAGCAGCAACGCAGTAATAATAATAATAATAATAATAATAATAATAATAATAATAATAATAATAATAATAATAATAATAATAATAATAATAGTGGTAATAATAATAGGAACAATGATAATGGTAATAATAATAATAATAATAATAATAATGATAATAATGATAACAATAATAATAATAGTTCAAATGATTTCAATTTGGTGAAAGAGAAGTGCACTAATGAATTAATAATTGGAATTGGAAAAATTCTACGTAAAAAAAATGGTGGAATTGCCGCATTGTATAAGAATGCCCTAGAAATGCCTGATTCAAGATTTAGTAAAATTATATATTCAATGATTGCATAATTTTATGAATTTATGGATTTATTTATGGAAATTTATGGGAAAATCCCAATAATGAAATTAGCATTGAGGAAAGCTGGAAATTAATTACTGAATAAAGTCTTTTAAATTCGAATAAATTCTCTACTGACATAAATTATTTTTGGTATTTTTGACACATGTATAAAATATAACTACATTCTAATCCTAAAGATAAATATATGAATTATAAATAGGAATCAAGTAATTGCTAGGTCATTCCATACAGTATGTATATTTCCTAACAGTGATAGTGATAAATAATATCAGAAGAAGATCAAAGAATATCCAAATTAATATGAATTATCAACGGCCCAATGATATTTGGTTAGTTTAAGTTGGAGAAAAATGTGAAGTAATATAAAAATAATAAACAAGTTTAATTGAATAATTTTTATACATACCCAATAATAAGGACGAGTATTTCTTTCCCTTTCTGTCACAAGTAGCATAAAAATAACTTTTCGAGTGGTCAATGGTCAAAGAATTAATTGATGGAATTTGAAAATCAATATTGATAAATTAAACAAAGTTGTTAAAAAATCACTTCATATGTTGATATATGTATGTAAATACAGTTAGAATATCGAAAATGAACTTTAATAATATGGAATGACATTTAAAGAGCAGAAATTAGTCCTACTTTTAGAGTGATTTGGCTTCTTTTTTTCTTTATTTGATAAATGAACGATAGGAACTAATTCGTATTCTAAAATATAGGGATGATTCATTGAAATTATGCTTAACTTAAGCAAAGAAGGTGCAAAAAGAACTTCATGTAAGTTAATTAATGAAGTTTCTGCAATAATTATCAAAATTATAATTTTACGACTGGTTTCAATTACCTCTTTCCCAAATAATTAATTATCGTATTAATATCCTCCTTTCATTCATTTCTGCAGCATTCTTTTTCATATATAAAACATCATTATGTCGTTTTGACTTTTGGCTTATTAAATTAGAAAAAAAAAAACAAAACAAAAAGACACAAGTTTCCATCTATTTATTATCATATGTGAATACCAAAGAACAAGAATTGATAACTTGATAATTATTCTAATACAGAGAAGGAATAATTTATGACAAATCAATCCCCCCTCCTCATTAATCAAGTAGTTAATCAAGTAGTAGTATACTATTTATCATTTTTTGAATTAATTTTCAGCATCTGAAATCAGTTAAAGCATTGATGAAAGCAAACTAATCAAACGGACACAAATAGCTTTTTCATATACAATTTTGTGCTTATATTGTTTATCGAACTTTTCTTTTTCCTATTCCTATTCCGGCCAAATGATGTACAAATAGTTCTTTACCGTAAATAAACCGTTCTTTTTATTGCTACCGTAAGTAAGCAAAGTTGTTCTTATTGTTATCGCAAATATGCCATATTCTTTTTATTGCTACCGTAAATGAGCGAAGTTCTTTTTATTGCCACTGTAAATGAGCGAAGTTCATTTTTTTTCATACGATCTAAGACAAAGTACCACTCATTTTTGCTTTTCGTACCATTTATAAGGCTTAATATTTGTTGCATATTACGATAATATTTTGTGAGTGTAAAAGTTGGAGCAAATATACAGAATGCAAAAATTTAGCAAATAAAACTTTTGTCCAAAAAAAAGTAAAGGCACCTAGAAATGATTGAATAAAATCCACAAACAATTTCGTTAAATTACAAAAGAGAAAAAAAAGAAGGAAGACAGAACTGCACATAGTTTTAGTATAAGTAAACAAACACTTATTAGCACAAGTAAACAAACAAATAAGTAAATAATAAACAAATTCTTGAAAAAAAAGTTAAATTCAAAAATATAATGCAACGCATAGTACAATGATATTTACTGGAATTCTCAACGAATTAAAATGAATATTATTGAAAAGAAAGAAAGAATTAAAAGATAAAAAATATTCAATGAAATAAAGAAGAAAAACATATTTGAATCAAATTATTAAATTGTTACCATTCAAAATCCACTAAAAAATTTGAAATTTTCAGTTATCAAACAAACTGACTAATAAAAAAAAAAACTAGAGATAGATTATCTCTAAGATTGATTTAAAAGTAAAATTTAAAATGAGCTTTTTGCATCTAATCGATTGTAAAACAAAACAAAGAAAAAAAGAAGGTAAATGATGGGTAATTGTTTTGTAGAATTTTTGAAAAATATTTTCATACAGTGAATTATTTTGGAAGAGAAGTAAATAATTTTATAGCATAATTTCTTGTTTTAAAAGAGGAAAAAATGTTTGACTTTGATTTCTTAAAATTTCACTTTTTAAATTTATATGAATTATAACCAATAATGAATACTTATTTATCAGTTGTTTTGTTTTTTTTCATTCTTTCTATACAAAAAAAAAACAAGGAAATTATAATTGAAATGAATAGAAACAGTAATTTAAACATGTTATTTAATTAATTGTTTGTTTGAAAAAGTAAAGCTATAAAATATATCAATTCTGTAAATGGTAGCAATAGTAGAAGTAGCAGTAGTAGAAAATGAAATGGATAAAAATAACTACACCAGATTTACATAATATACTGTTTTCATAACATGTAATATGCTTAATTAGTTGGCTGGTTAATTAATTCCACAATTAATTAATCAACTAATTAATGATACACCGAGAAACATTCAATTTAGTTTAATATTTAACAAATTTATACCAATGAATTAGTGAATTACCCGTCTGAATTGTGAAATTTGAAATATTTCAACATTAATGGTTCAATTTCTTCGTCATAATTCCATTATTATTTTTATTTATAATACCAAAAGTGTAAGTAATTATGAGTTAAACAAATTAATTAATTAATGCCTATTATACAAAGAAGCTATCTTTATTGGATGTTGGAAGTGATGATAGAACTCTTGGCATTGTTGCAAGTCGTGATGAAGTATGAAGTGGAGGACGAGATTGAGGTGAAAATTGATATGCCGGAGTGTGTTGCTGATATTCCGGACGGCTTCGCATATGTTGCAATGTTGCAACCGGACCCGGCCTTTAATAAATTCAATTAAAAAACATTTGTTTTTTTCACCGGATAAAATTTCTTCTGTTAAATGCTATCACTACAAATTATATCAAAGATGTATATATTGAAATTATTGGATCGTATTAAAACATGAAATGAAAATAAAATAAAATGAAATTAAAAGTGTATTCTCGATAATTTTAAAGGAATATATATATATATATATATATAACAAATTAAAAAATTAACTTTGAAATCAAGAACACATATCCTTTGATTTCAAATTCGTCAGATAATTAATTAAGCACTAATTAAACATACAATCAGTTAAACTTTTTAAACTAATGGTTGAAAATATTGAATTACCTTTTGAGAGCATTCCGTATCATCTGTACTTCTTCAGCAATTAACCCGTAACTGAGTAAATCAATATGTCCAAGACGTACCAAATCTGAAACCCTACTAACACCGGCCATATTAAGTTTCATTGCGCAATGTCCCAAACCAATACGTTTTAAAAATTCATCCAATGGAAGTTGTGATGATAATGATAATGATGTTGTTGATGCTTTCGTATCAACTGAACGTGGAAGTGTACCAAATCCAACACTACAAATAACATTCATTTCTATTAGCATATATATATTTTTTAAATTAAATAATAAATAAAAAAGGAAAAACAAAATGAAAATGAAAAATTCGGAATTTGGATATTTTAAATTTGAATATTTTTCAAATTATTTCAAACTAAGAAGAAAAGAAAAAGAAAAAAAAGTATAATTCTGTATGTAAGTAATATAATGTTAGCATAATCCAACTATTACTTATCATAAATATCAAACTAATGCCTTATCACAGATTAAATCAACATCTTTTCTGTAAATAAAACATATAACATAGCATAATTAATTAATAATCAATAAAGCATAATTAATCTAACTTGAACTATCAGATTATTAAATTATCAAATAATTTACTTTGATGTTGTCGAATTACCCAAACAAATATTATCATCATAGATAAGCGCTGGTTGACGAACATATTCTTCGAGAATTTTAAGAATTTGCGCAAATGTTGGCCTTTGATGGCGATCAATATGCCAACATTGCAACATTAAATTATGTAATGATACAGGTGTATCCATTGGTGATGGTAAACGATAACCTAATGTTATCTCACTGATTACTTTTTGATTTGTCCAATCCCAATACGGTCGTTCACCAAATGAACAAACCTATAATTGAATAATGATAACGCTGGAAATTAATTTCCTATTTATTTTTTTTTTTGAATTAGAATATAGAATAAGAAGGATATAATGATGAAAACATTTTAAGTAAAGATAATTCAAATCAAAACTTTGAATATAACTTACAATTGTTTTATAATTTCTGCCTGTTTTTCAAGCTAACAGTTTTACAATTTTGATTCGTTTTTCAGGCTAACCATTTCCTACCCGTTTTTTCAGGTTGACCGTTTTACAGTTTCTATTCATTATTTTACAATTCCTATCCGCTTTTTCAAGCTAACCGTTTCACAATTTTGATTCGTTTTTTAGGCCAAACAGTTTCCAGTTTTATCTATTTTTTAGATTACTTATTTTACAATTTTTATCCATTTTAATTTTAATCTAAAATATGTTTGCTAAGGTATAATTTCTGTATGCACAAAATTCTTAAAGAAATATCCCGCTATCGAACCTCTATTCCATTTCTCTTATCTTCTTTAACTTCAATAATAATAAAATAGTAATTTAATTATAATTTGCATAAACAGATTACCTCCCACATGACAACACCAAAACTCCAAACATCGGATGCAGCAGTAAACTTTCGATGTGTTATAGCTTCAGGTGCTGTCCAACGTACAGGTATTTTACCACCATTTGTTGTATACTCTTGTTCAATTGATCCTTCGACACCACGACTTAATCCAAAATCAGCAATTTTACATAGCAAATTTGAATCTACCAATACATTTCGAGCTGCTAAGTCCTAGAAAAAAAAAATAATAGTAATAATGACTTCCAGTAATTAATTCATTCATTCATTCAATAGAAATATATTTGTTAAATTAAAAATTAAAAGAAAGAGAAAAAGACAGGTGCAAAATTACCCTATGTACAAAGCCCTTTTCGGTAAGATATTTCATTCCAGCTGATATCCCTCGTAACATATCAACTATTTGCACTAATTCCAAAATTCCATTATCATTCTTACGTAAGAATTGATCCAATGAACCATTTTCCATATATTCAATTACAATCATAATCTATATAAAATTAAATTTATCAATTATGGATTGATAAAATTTTATATAGTCAAATTTCAAATTCTTTCAATATTTGAAATCTATTTTAAAAAAAAAAGAACAAAAAAACATACTGGCTCATTTTTTGTTACTACACCAATTAATCGAATTACATTTTCATGAGCAAATTGACCCATAATTGATGCTTCCATCAGAAAATCACCTTTTGCTTTATCACTACTACCTGGTTTTAATGTTTTGATAGCAACTGTTTGTACCTGTACGAAAAGAAATTCATTTTAAAATATTTTCAATTTCATAAAAATGGCCCGCTTAAATTTGTAATAATAAGCTTTTATTAGAAGAGAAGTAAAATTTGAATCAAATGTTACAAAAGAAAAAAAGCTTGAATATTAATTATTTAGTGTTATCAATAAAATCACTTATAACAATAAATTAAAACTCATTCCAAAAAAATTTAATTTTATTTCTCTTTTTTATGAAATTATTAATTACTTCTTTTATTCAAGTGGAAAATACAATTTTTTTCCTTTTATAAATGCATAGAATATAACATAGCACAGGATTAGAATTTTTAATTTAACTTATAAAATAACTTATTACCTGACTAATATCAGATGAAGTTATCCTATACGATGGTTGTAAGACACCTTTACAAACTTCACCAAACTCACCGCTACCAATAACCTCGGTAATACGTATCAAAGCTGGATCAACATCATTTGTGAATTCTGATAAAGCCTACAAATAAATTTATTTATTGTAAAATTATATGAACTCAAAAGAGGATAATTGAGTATTTATTTCCTTTTGAAATATATATTTATTGAAGTTTCCAAATTATGAAAATAAAAATAAATAATAATTAAAACTACGAACAATTTAAAATTTGCTATAAAAGATTAAAATTTGATAAAATTATTAAATTTTGCCGGGAAAAATTGTTTGAATTACAATTATTTACTATTATCAATAAAATCATTAACCTGATTCGGATCTTCATATGCTGCCGGATCAACATATGGCTTGAAACGAGTAGTTTCACCATAATTAGTTGATTGTGATGAACCATAATTTATCAGTGGTGAACCTACTGGAAAAATGAAAAAAGAAAATCAATAAATCAATCATCAACAAATTAATTTCATTAAACATTAATTTCTATTATCTAAATACAATTCAAAACTTATTCATAAGAAGTAAAAAAAATTTAGTCGTCGCATTTCAGAAATTTGAGAAAAGTTCTTTTTTTTTTAATCAATAAATGATAAGCTCCTTTTAAAAGCCCATTAATTACAATGGTGATTGTAAACCCAAAATATTAGTAACATCAGTAAAAATAATGATAATGTTAACAACAAAATTATCAGCATCTCATTAATTAATCAATCAATAATAAACTTACATTTTCCGCGAAAAAAATTCTGTACCGCACCTTGTGAAGTTGGTGCGCTAAAGTCTGGTGTTAATGTACCTAAAAATTAGCCTTACTTTATAATAACAAACAAATTTACTTATTGCATCAAAACTATAAACAGCAATTATTTAAAAGAAAAAAATTCAATAGCAAACATGCGTAAAAGAATCACTTACTATGCTATTTATTGATAATTTGTTAAGAATAATTTACTAATAGTTAAATATTTAAAAATAAAAAGATGCAATTAATATTTTATAAATATCGCAAACTTATTTATTGAATAATAAATTTCCACTCCATTAAAGGAATATTAACTTTTTTTTTTGTAAATACATTTAAATAAACTCAAAATTCTGCATCGTTTAATTTAAATAACCGTTAAAAAAAAATCAAAAAAGCTTGAAAATTGCAAACATAATTTTGAAATTACATTTAAATAAGCTTAAATTTTCAAACAGATATTATTTTAAGAAAATTTTCTAAACTAAATCCCCTTTTTGCAGTTCTAGCGACGTTGGTAAGACAACAGATGCACAAAAGCATTTTAACAAAAAATAAATAAAAAAAAAAAATGAAATTATATTCATTGAGATTGCCTACCATAAGAACAAGAATAATGCCGAACTGAAATAAAAATGGAAGCAAAATACGAATCTATCAGTTATCAGTTATTAGTTATCAGTAATTATCAGTGAATATCAATGTAATTACATAGAATTTTACTCAAATATTTAAGTGTAATTCAGATCGCAACTGTAAGATAAACAAGCAAATAATATTACTTTAGCTTATTTACATAGCAAATATATAATTGACTAATGCAATAAATAAGCAATGGATATTTGGCCTTATTTGCATAACAAAATAGATGTAAATATGCTACTGATAGCATAAAAATATTTGTTAAAATATTCATTTTGTAATTTTAAACTTAAAATTAGAAGGAATGAAGAAGATAAATGAGAATGTACCATTTTTGTAGGAATCGATACCATCACAATCGCTTAATCGTTTCCGATTTCGATTTTGTCGCAAACAAATGAGCAGTGTAAAGAGGACAATAATCATAAATGAAGATATTAATAAAATCCAAACCCATAACGGTGGTCCAGGAGATGACCAATGCAAATCGCTGAAATGAATTCGGAAAGTAAAAAAAAAAAAAATCAATAAACATTGAAAATATATAAATTAAAAACTTAATTATTAAGTCTTAAAAGAGTATGAATTAAAAATTCGAATGCAAAATTAAATTTCAAAAATATATAAACTAAAAATTTGAATACATATTGTTAAATTTCAAAAATATTTTAAAAATATATAAACTAGAAATTTGAATATATAGTGTCAAATTTCAAAAATACATAAACTAAAAATCCGAATACATTGTTGAATTTAAACAATATATAAACTATAAATTCGAATAGATTAGTAAGTTTTAGAATTATACAAAAATATGAATTATTGAATTTTAAAAATATATAAACCAAATATATGGATGCATTTTAATTTGTAATTACTATAATAAAATGATCAAAGAAAAAAGAAAAAAAAATTACACAATGCTATTATTATGCATATAATCATCATTATCACTATTATCATCATCAACATTATGGCTTATTGGTGCAAATGGTAAACTACGACCAGGTTGATACCATAATGGTTCACTCCATGTACCATGTCCATGTTCGCTTACTATACGTACCTATAATTATAAATTTTTATTTTATTTTATTTTTTTTTCGAAAAAAAGTGAAAGCTTTGAAATATATTTAAATTTCCTCAATATGGGTTAAATTATTTATAAAACTTCTACCTTCTTTTATCTTAGCTTA